ATAGTAGCATTTATTGACGGGGTCAGCATGCGGTACGGGGTTTTAGGTTGCATTTCGTATGATTAGACTATACAGTTCACAAAACATCAAGCCGAAAAGTAAAATGAGAGGTACGGTTAATTTATTCGTTGCGTACTAACGTGATGGACCGTAATGAAGCGGCCGTAGCCAACCAATTCTAATTACTTGAACCCATAATTCATAATAATGTAGCATTAGAAAATACGGAAAAATGATCATAATTAATTATCCAAAAAGAGATAGCATGATCAACGGAAGCTGGCAGGCTTCCGATCCACTATTTTTGGGAAATCGCCCAAAAAAAAAAGTCTCGCAGCTGCTGAGTACAAGTATGTGGACGAATAACTAGACAGAAATAATTGAACTAAAACAATAATGCTATTTTGCTTCAAGGAAAATAGAGCAAAATGATGTGTTCTAGAAAAAAAACACAACCGTGTAAAAATTCTAGCTCATCGTTTTCCTGCACGTAATCGGCCAAATGTGAATATTCGATACATTTTGGCCTGTCGCTTGCTTCATATGATTCCCTCGCTAGTTTAGAAATAAACAATTCCTGCAAACAAACAATCTTACGAATCGAAATGTGCACACATTCTTACCAGCCAAGGCGAAACTGCTCTTTTTTGTTGATTTCTCATACTTCGTAGATGCCAAGAAAGCTCCATAAAAACCCGCAATTGTTCAGATTGTGGGTTGCACAGAATAAAGAAGCCAGACGACACATAATATGTACGTGAGCGTCATGCACACACTTTATAAGTTCTCCACCAGGTGCGCGCAGCACAAGAACCCGTGGTGCAGTGGCATAGCATGTCACATCTGGATGTGAAGACGAATGGTTCGATTCCCTTCCGGTCCATAACCATTTTCGAAAGAAGGTCTGCCCGTGGGGCAATCGTTGAAATTTACGGCAGTCTTCAGTCTCTTTTCAACCTTTTATTCATACTTTAGTAACATTACTTCCTCATAATAATCGATATATTTCAATTAATTTATATGATGATTCCTTTCAACTAACAGAAAGGAAGCCAAAAATGACAGATAACGATGGACAAGCAGATTATTTAACATTGCTTTTACAACGCTAAAAAAACAATGGGAAGAAACGGTGGGACTGAGCATCTCTGTGAAAGGATCAGTTTGGATGTTTTCCGAGTGCAATAAGCGTAAGAAGTTGTAAGCCGTTACAGGCAAGCATCATTGCAAGACGAAAAAGCAGCAACACAGTTCTATCCAGTAAAACGATCGACAAGCACACTAATTAATCTAATGTACCCTAATATACCGAAAAAAGTCATGCAGTCCCAATAAAAACCGTTTGCCCATTTTTTAGTAATTAAGCAGTTAAATATGAAAACATGTGCAGGTGGCGAAGGTGCGATGAAATTCAGGAGGAAAGAAATAGTGTAGGAGAGAAGGTAACAGAGAGATAAGACATTTCAGTCCATTAGGTCATACACGTCTTAACACTGCGACTGGATATCGTACTGGACCTCGTCAGTATAACGGAAGCACTGCTTAAAGAGGAGAAAGAAAAAAAGGAGGGAATGAAAATGGAAACCGAAGCAAGGGGAAACAGAAATTGTAACACTATAAAGTGTTTTAAGTCGTTTTTTATTATAACACTGAATGCTTACGGCAGCCTTAGTCATCGCATAGAGACCCTCACTTGAGATTGGTACTTGTTCACCACCACTCTGCATGATCGTTTTGACCCTTGCGAGCGGTAAATCGTGCAACGCACTGGTCGACGCCGATGGTGTTTCGTTTTCCGCATTATCAGTTTTTCGGAACGTTGCCAACGGCTGATCATCATTCGAATCACTGTCAGTCGATGATGCCATTGTCCACTGGACACAGTCCGAATAATACCCACGTTCTAAACAATGCGAAATTATAGTGAAAGCTATTGGCAGCCGCATGTTGTATTCGGAAAAGTTTGAGCTCCAACTTCGAAATTCCTATTTTTTCGTCCACAGCTAACTATTCGTCAAACTGCCCGTAATTCCGTAAAATTTATGAATTTAAGCTGACGAGACTATGATATTCATGTTTCATTTATGTCTTATCCTTTTGACTTTTTATTTTTTATTCCACTCTTTGTATTTTTCCCTTTTTTTCCTTCAGTTTTTACGCGTTTTTTGCAGCAATGCAATGCGAAAAACGCATAATGACGAGAGGTTGTCTGTGTGTCTGTGCATGCGTCTATCACGCACTTTCATCTCAAAGCCTATAAAAGCTGCGGGGCTGAAAAAATTTCGGAAAATTAATCTACATGCACGTGCTGCCCACAATCCCCAAAATGGGCGCCAAAACTAGCGTGGTACCCACGCACGGACCCGTCAAAGTC